ATGACTTCTTCCCATTTCGATTTCAATTTTATTTTTTTGTAACTAGACCAATTGTGAATCTACCATAAGTGTCAGTGTCCATAGTGCTGCCTCCAACGCTCAGACATCTTTTCGCGAAACTTTTCCAAATAGGTTTCACAAGAATGCTGGGTTGTGAACAAAACTTTCGCCCCAGGCGGGACTAGAACCCGCACCTCTCGCTTTCCGGGCAAGTGCGCTACCAGTTACGCTACCGGGGCACCATTTCATCCCAACTCAGCTCCAATTATCCAACTTCCAATTATTTTGTCACGGAGATGATAATTGAAGGCCCAAAATAGACGGCAACAATATAGGGCTTGACTAGGGGAATCGCTAGGTGAGGTAAGGAGTCTTTTCTCAGCTCCAGGATTCCTTAACGGGTCCATTTCGCAGCACGTTGGCTCGCAATTTCATGAAAGAATATACGAGCGTTTTTGACGAGCTGCCTTGGCCAACTTCTAGTTCTGCTGCTCGGAGGAGTAGGGCTGTTGTGGAAGCTTGACGACAAATTCTTCGATTAAAGAACCATATGGAGGTAGACCTCTACTTCCACAACTGTACTCAATCGAAGTATTTGTAAACGAGCTTAGGTTGGTGTCAGAGTCCGCGACCCGTCGCAACAATGTCCATTTGAACATTTGAAACACTGAATATGAAACAAGTAGAATCATGAACAGTCGTCATTCAATCATCACTATCAAGCAGAAATGGCATCGGGATTGGAGAGCACCTCGCTGTATCCCTTTTTGGTCATAAATACTACCCACGAAATTTTCAAACAAAAAAAAATTGAAAAAAGAGATTTTCTTTGCAACTTCATAGCAGAACTTTGCATCGTTCGTATTTCTAAAGATTATTTCCACCTTTGGCGATTAAATGTTACCACAACATAAGGACAGCTATTAGTTTACCTCATACGTAAATCATTTATCATTTGTTGTTGACGAAGGATGAGGGCGATTTCTTCCAAATCGCTGGAACCGCCGCTTAGAGAAACAGAATTGCCATCAGGTCCTAACAAAGAGAACGGCTGACGTCCTGAATTGTGCAATGTAAATAAATCCAATTTCTCAGTGCTAAAATGTGAAGAACGACTGAGCAAGACCTTGATCACTCCGCATGCTGCCACTTCGACTAAAGTGAGAAGACGCGAGAAGATTCGCGTTTTGCAGCAGTTGGTCACGCATAAGACTCAATTCATGCTCCATAACAGCACGGCGTTCGCTTTCTGATAAGAAACCATTGCGGATATGGACAATTTCCTGGGCAAGTTAAATATTAAGACCTGCGCGTAGAGCGCTTCGCGCTTTAAGATCGCCTCTCCAGCCACTGCGTTTGAGTTTGATATTTTCAACTCGCTCACTAATTCCGTGATCTTCAACGATGACTCCACTTTGTTCTAGAAAATACAAGAATTAACAATATACGAATACTGTAATTGAATAATAACAGCTTTCTGAAAATGAACTGTCATCCGAGAAGTCACTCATGTATCCTATTCAGTTCCCTTTGCGCTCTTACACGCATTCGGTCTCGAGTCGTTCAACTTCTAGAGCTAACTCTTCCTCCTTTTGAGCCGCACAAGCCTCCTGCTCCTTCCTGAAAAAAAAAAACAAAACATAACAACCAACATTCCTTTACCGAAGCGGATCATCTCACCTTTTGACCTCAAGCGCTGCAATTTCCGACAGTAGCTTTTCTTCAGCTGTCTTCAGCCGACTACACTCGGACGTCTACAAGAAGAACATAAACAAATGAAAATAAAGTAGAATGATGTGTACCAACATGCACAAGAGGGAAATCAGGTAGTATAGCATCTGGAGGCAAAGCGACTTTTTCTGCTCACCTTCCCTTCCCCTTCTCTCCACCTCCCCCCCCCCTCATGCAGAAGTAATCTGCATGGCCCCCAATTCTTCAATCTCGTTGACCATGGCAAGAACTAATGGTGCTACCAACTACCACTACCGTTCCGAGGCTATGATAGTTCGCAGACCAAGCAGCGAGCTGATAATAAAGACAGCCTTTGTCTTGTGAGAGATATATCGTTTTACGACGACGCTTCAAGACAGCCCCACGCAGCCAGACAAATGTGCCTCCGAGCAGTCTACCCGGGTGAACAGTCCAGGTCCTAGTCGATTCATGAAGATAGAGGCCAGCAAAATACCAGGACTGGTTGAGAAGAGCTGAAGGAGGGCTCAGAATTCATTCCATTTGAAAAATACGATAGAATTTACACGGAATTTACACGCCACGGAGAACCTAACCATAAGGGTCAAATCACATTCTGCAGTCTGCTTGCACATCGTGGACAGATCACGTATCGATCGTGCGATCGCATGGATTTTGCGGTTTACGGTGGATATGCATGTGCTGCACACTCGAACTGCAAGCTGAACTACAAAGCATGATTCGATCCTAAGGAGCAGGTTCAATCGCCCGTTGTGCCAATTTCAGAAATTTCCACGATCCCCGCCATCACCACCATCAATCATGGGAAAGGAATCCCCATACGACTCCGCCTAAGGATCTCCGCACTTCCTCCCCAACTCCATACTGTTAAACGGGAGGGGGATCATAAATATATAGAAAGGACAAATCCTCCAAACTTCGCCTATTCCATGATTCTCTTCTTAATTTCCCTCGAAATCGTCGAAAAATTTGTCAACCCCCACCCACCCTCCACTTCCACTGCAACACGACCCCCCCCCCACTTCCATCACCACAACCTGCATGGGAATCTCAAATACAACCCCTTTGTCACCGCCATCGACACAAAAAAGCAATACGACCCCCCTCGTTGAACACGGTACAACTGAGGCCGACCCTGCTAACGGGTCAGATGTGCCATATCTATTCAACTATATTATTCATTTAATGACAAG